GGTTACTGTGCAAAGAGAAACACCACAGGAACAATATGTCGTGAAGTACCAAATAAACTTTAGCAGCAAATCTCTTACTTTTAGCTCTTTAACAATGTAAAGAGGTTGAACCACAAGCCCAACAAGAAGGTCTGAAACAGCCAAGCCGCAGAACAAAGTTATGGACGGTGAGCGAATTGAAGGTGTCTTCAATACGGCTACAATCACTAGCGAGTTGCCAAGAATGGTTATGAGCATCAAAATGGCATTGAGGGCACAATTTACGATGACAAAGGTTTCAGGATGGGTCAAATAATCACTGGCTGATTCGTTTTTGAAGATGGTGTCGTTGATCATTGTACTTCTTCTTTTAAGACCTCTTCTAAAGTTACAAACAAGATCATGACTTTGCCAAGTCGTTGCAGATTCGGTGACTCGCGTTTTTAGGGGTTACCTCAGATCTCTCTGATTCTTCGATTAGCAACTTATTGAAAACAAGAAAAACTGGCTTTATGTTCCAGCGATTCACGCCGAAAAATAACTATGTGGTAGGTCATCTTGACAGGCAATGACAATGCGTTGCCCGATTTTTACTTCAAAACAAGCAAGATATAATTTGCTGGCACCAATTGGCTTTGATTACCCCAAATATGAAAGGAGGACTAAAAGGTTAATTTCCTCATAACAATGGTTAAAATCTTATATCCTACGCTTAAAACAAATAGGTTTTAAGAGGTAAAGGTTATGACATGTTTAATAAGAAGAGGAAATCTTTTCAAAAGCTGACCTTTTGAGATTTACTTTTGTTTACTGCCTTATTTCTGTCATCTTATAACAACTCAGTCCTTTGGTCCTAAATTGAAACCGCCTAGGTTTCCTTCATAATACGATACAAAAGTAATCTAAAATAAATACTGAAAGGAAATGCGATGAATGTGATTATGTCATTGTTTAAAAAGCACTGAGGCTTGCTTTGTCAGCTGCAGTGCTTTTCTAGAAAAATATATATTAATCGGCTTTAAAAATTTTTTTGAATTTGTTTCACACGCCTTTCGGTCACTAATAAAAGAAAAACTAAACGGTTTCCATCCGTCATCTGAACGAAAATTGTTTCCTTAACATGAGCAGCGTCAATAAACCAACTGATTGTACGGTAAACCTGAAGACAAGCGTTTAGTTCAAATTATAACTCTGTAACGCTTTCAACAGCCGAGTAACTACAAAAATTTTGAGAAAATGACAGTATTTATTGTTTAGCCGCCTGTTCTTCTTCTTTCCCGTGCCAATAGGGGTATTTTTAATTATTTACAATTCGGTTTCTGATCTTGCTTACAAAAATCAGTAATGAATATTGAAAGGGTATAGCACGATCAATTGTCCGAAAAGATTGGAGCCCGACTGAATAATTTTTGTCCAACGTGGGTATAAACACTCAGAATTTGAACAATCATAAAGAACGTATGTACGGTGGCTTAGAAGGGTCATGGAAAGTATCTCTCTATTTTTTGTTTCGACACTTAATAACTTAATATCGCAGTTATTAACTGGTCATCGACACTTATGACTGTCGAAAAGGATAACGGTCGATCGCTACTTATAATTGTCGATGGCCACTCATAATTGTCGATCGCCACCTACAACTGTCGATCGACACTTACAAACTGTCGATCGTCACTTATAATTGTCGATCGACACTTATAACTGGCGATCGACACTTATAACTGTCGATCTCCACTTATAACTGTCGATCTGCACTTATAACTGTCGNACTGCAGCTGAGGCTTGCTTTGTCAGCTGCAGTGCTTTTCTAGAAAAATATATATTAATCGGCTTTAAAATTTTTTGTTGAATTTGTTTCACACGCCTTTCGGTCACTCAGCTAATAAAAGAAAAACTAAACGGTTTCCATCCGTTATCTGAACGAAAATTGTTTCCTTAACATGAGCAGCGTCAATAAAGCAACTGATTGTACGGTAAACCTGAAGACAAGCGTTTAGTTCAAATTATAACTCTGTAACGCTTTCAACAGCCGAGTAACTACAAAAAATATTTTAAGAAAATGACAGTATTTATTGTTTAGCCGCCTGTTCTTCTTCTTTCCCGTGCCAAAAAGGGTATTTTTAATTATTTACAATTCGGTTTCTGATCTTGCTTACAAAAAGCAGTAATGAATATTGAAAGGGTATAGCACGATCAATTGTCCGAAAAGATTGGAGCCCAACTGAATAATTTTTGTCCAACGTGGGTATAAACACTCAGAATTTGAACAATCATAAAGAAAGTATGTACGGTGGCTTAGAAGGGTCATCGAAAGTATCTCTCTATTTTTTGTTTCGACACTTAATAACTTAACATCGCAGTTATTAACTGGCCATCGACACTTATGACTGTCGAAAAGGATAACTGTCGATCGCTACTTATAATTGTCGATCGCCACTTATAATTGTCGATCGCCACTTATAACTGTCGATCGACACTTATAAACTGTCGAACGCCACTTATAATTGTCGATCGACACTTATAACTGGCGATCGACACTTATAACTGTCGATCTCCACTTATAACTGTCGATCTGCACTTATAACTGTCGATCTGCACTTATAACTGTCGATCGGCACTTATAACTGTCGATCGACACTTATAACTGTCAATCGACACTTATAACTGTCGATCGACACTTGTAACTGTCGATCAAAACTTATATTTGTCATTAGTGTTATTATTGTTATGATATGATTTATCTGTTAATATTAAGTTACAAGTTTGAATTGCAAGCGAAAAGATACTTCCCTTGTTATGACCTCTTGCTATTCTTAATTCTACCACATGGGCACCGTCTCCTTCATCGTTGTTGTTTTGCACTGAACGTTGTTGAGCCTGCATCTCTGACTGATGACGGCGGACAATTTGAGAAATTCTGATATAACAACATATGGAAATTATCAGACAAATGACGATCACTGCGGCTACCAAGAGGTGATAGATGCGTTTATTCCATAGGACGAAACCCGATAAGACGAAGCTGATCAACCAAATCATTCCCAAAATGAATTTTACACGGGATTTTGTCGCTAAAGTAGGATATCGGAGGTGAAAGTGAACTGCCAAAAGTCGATCAACGCTAATAGCTGTTATTGTGAGGAGGGAAACTGTACATACAGAGAACCCTACCATTATCGCCAGTTTAGAGATAAAACTGTAGTTTGTCAGTAGATCAGCAATANCTTTTCGAAGCTTGGGAAGACGCCAAAAATACAGAAATGGATTGACTGCTGAGTTGACGAATATTACAGTGGTAGCAAAGTTCCATTCTGGTTGCCACGCATATCTCGTTTCCGAGATTCCATTGAGAGTTAACAAACTGTACGCCGGACTATAGCATATAATTAAAGCGATGTAGAATACAAAAGCGCTCATGACACTTCTTCTTAATTCTACCACATGGGCACCGTCTCCTTCATCGTTGTTGTTTTGCACTGAACGTTGTTGAGCCTGAATCTCTGACTGATGACGGCGGACAATTTGAGAAATTCTGATATAACAACATGTGGAAATTATCAGACAAATGAAGATCACTGGGGCTACCAAGAGGTGATAGACGCGTTTATTCCATAGGTCGAAACCCGATAAGACGAAGCTGATCAACCAAATCATTCCCAAAATGTATTTTACACGGGATTTTGTCGCTAAAGTAGGATATCGGAGGTGAAAGTGAACTGCTAAAAGTCGATCAACGCTAATAGCTGTTATTGTGAGGAGGGAAACTGTACATACAGAGAACCCTACCATTATCGCCAGTTTAGAGATAAAACTGTAGTTTGTCAGTAGATCAGCAATATATATCGGTTGACCAATAACACCAACCAGGAGGTCCGAAACAGCGAGACTGCTGAGCAAAATCACGGACGTTGAGCGAACAGATGGCGTTCTTTTGATGGCGGCCAATACCACAGCGTTACCCAGAATGGAAATGAGCATCAGTGGAACATTGAGAAGGCAGATTATCTTGAAAATAGTATTGGAGCTTGCTTGGTCTTCGTTGTCTGAGTGATGGTCTGCTGATCCATTGTTGTCTTTCCCGGTGTCATTCATCCTCGCTGGCTGCGTTCGATATTATCAACTGAAAAATGTCATCTACCTTTTTCCATAAATGATAACAGCAAAGAGACTAATTCTTTGTTTCTGTTTGCTTCAGCGAAAAGCAAGGTAACTGAACGCTAAGACCCAGCAGTGTAGATCCTTCTACAGCCGTTATTTTTTTTCCGCTTACTAAATTGCTTTTCACGCAGATGGTTTCAGTTCAGATGTATTCATCGGGAACTAACCGTTGTTTATACAAAATAAAACGACAATTTAAGTTGTTATTTATACAGAAGATCCCCGCTACCTCGAACTCGGTTGACTTGACCTCAGCTGCTGACTTGATTTTCCTAAGATTTGATCCCATTTTATTTTTCAGTAATTAACCATCACTTGATTAAAGTCGCTTAGCCTCGAACTTCACACTGCGACTTAAGAAAAGCATACATTAATTTCCTTCGGCTGAAATTTAACCTTGCTCTTTCGAACAGTGGGAAAATAGAACGGAAATTATCATCAAGGGAGAATTTCCGAAATGTGAACCATTCAATTGGAACAGAACTTACCGGAAATATATTTTGCAAAAATAAGTTGGTTATACCTCGCGAAGTAGTCCTCTTTATCATAATTCAGGCTAATCTTCCACTCAACAGTCCCACCCGCCGCTGGAAATTTCCGGCAAATCAAACCGGAACTTTTGGTTGAACGGAAAGCGAACGTTATTCCTCATTTCACCCTAGTCTTAAATCGCATTTTGCATCCAATTCAACTCGGCAACTCCACATGGCGCTTTATGAAGTACAAGAAAAGTTCTCCAAAAGATTATTTTTTCAGGTGGTACTCCAAGAAATGTATGGAGAGCAGTTATGACAATTTGGATATCGACTCATGAAACGGTTTTAAATCAGGAGTTGGTGACAAAAACTTTAAAGAACTTTCAGGGAAATTTATTCGTCTTAACCTTTGTGTACATGAACAATCATTAAAACGGCGTCGTGGTGAAAACTATCAAAAGACACTTTTCGACTTCTTAATGGAAAATATTAAACTCCGTCGATCAATAATGATTGGAATATTTGTTTTTAGTTTAGATTATATATATATTTTTTTTTGTCAGGGAGAGCGAGGGTGTCAGTCATATGTAAATGAAATTAAATAACTGTGAAGGAAAAACAACGAAAAATAAAATAATTAAATTACAAGAAAGCCAGGTTTTCATCCTCTTAGCGTGATCAAACAGTGTTTTTGTCTGCCAAAAATTGACCAAGCATTACGGTTTTTTTCTCTGTCGTAAACTTACCCAACATGATGCTGTTCTTTTGAGTCTAATGTAAATTATGAACAATTATTCAACGCAAAACACACCGACATGTCAACTATTCATGTGAGAACAAAAGATAATATGTGGCAGGTGAGACATGTCTAGCATTGATAATGCATTCGCAGCGTTTGAAAAACTTCTAATCGTCTCTATTTACCCTTTGAAGGATGGATTTTATAAACATTGCAAATAGCCTTGAGATCAATAGAGAATTAAAAAAGAAAAGCAATCACCTTTTTGACTAGTCAAGATAAGTCCATGGAAAATATAAGTAAAGATAAGTTAAAAGTAGAGGAAAACTTTATAAAAAAAGTGTCAGGTATCTATCTCCTGAAAGCTTCCTTTTGCAAGTTTTCTTAGGGTTCATTTTACTGCTCGAAGCCTAAGCTTAAGATATTTATTCAGGTGTATTTTTATATTTGCATAAAACTAGAGCTGAACAGAAACAAACCCGGCCGACGTGGGCGGAGGAAGCAAAACTGCATCGATTATCTAACAGTCTTATACACCTTATTCCAAAATGGCAGCCAGTTTATTATTCTTTTGTTTACAGGGTAATTAGCCCTCTTTGCCTCAAAAGAATTTTGACGTGAAAATGAGGCAAAGAGGGCTAATTAACATGCAAACAAAAGAATAATAAATTGGCCGCCATTTTGGAATAAGATGTGTATCAGACGTAAACGAAGACGATGAAAATTGCAATTAATCTACCTTTGAAAACTGTTTGTTTGTTCACATTCAACCTCGTTGCCAGGCCTTTTCCCTTGAAATGTTTTCTTCAAAATTTCAAGGAAAAGGCTCTGGGAACGAGGCTGGTTAAAATTTAGTTTTACGGTGGCCGGTAACCGTTTCCAGCACTATACTTTGACAGATCCACACTTAAATGACTTTTGATGTTAAAAACATTGAGATCATCCACATTGTCAATCATGGTTAAACATGTTGTGGTCATCTTTATGGGATTTACACTTCTATTACCATAGCAACAAAACAACTTTAATTTTAGTTTTAAGTGCTTGTAATTCAAAAAAGGCTCTTTATTATATCATGGAATTGTG